CCTGAAGCAGAAGCCAAAAGGAGTTCGCGTATGCTCTCTGTGTGTTGTAGTTCAACGCCGCATGAGCGTAACTCCTATATGCTTTCTGCTTTATGGTTATTGTGAACGTAAATTCCTCTCGAAAAAACGACATCTGTATTCTATCTGTCTTTGTTAATTAATCTATGGTTTGTGATGTTCATAAATTTTCTTTGTCTTATTTAATCTTGCGCTTTAATTTGTTGGAAAAAATGTTAATTAATTCTTGTGATAATTATTATAAATAAATTTGATTTAATTTAATTTAATGAGTTTTAAAGTGAGTTTTAAGGGATTGTAAGCGGAATTTCAAGTGACCCTCCATGGAAAAATGACTATTTCCTGTACCTTTATCTGATCAACAAAAAGAAAATATTGTCGTTTTTTTAGGATTTTTAGTGTTTAATTGTGATAATCCTGCAATAATCACTTTTGTAGAGAAACCACAATTAAAAATAGACAGTTTTCAAAATTATAAACATTGATATCTAATAAACACTTGATCAGACAAAGCTTCAAAGGCTACCTTGTGAATAGAGCATTGGCATCTTTTTGTGAGTCACACGAAATTCGCTTACAGTCCCTTTAAACACGTTTTTAACTCGTAGATTTTTCGATTTTCACTGATGATGGTTGATGGTTGATGGTTGATGTGGATTTATTAAAATGAAATATTGTGTAGGAAGAATGAGTCTTTAAATTAATGAAAAAAAATGACTTTTCTACTTACGTTTCGATTTTTAACAATTTACAAGTAAATAAAGAAAAGTTGTCAATTGACAGCTTCTCTTTGTTTCCCTGCTGTCTAAAGCTTGGTATAAATCAAAAGTCGTTTTTACTGTATTGATTATACGACGTCGACTGTGTAATACATTTTTTTAGATCAGCTTTACATTTGCTTTATTCTTTCTCAAGGCATTCCGTAAGTAATTTATCACCTAAAGTGTTTTAGGTCGAGTTAAAATCTCATTCTTATTAAGCAACCCTGTATATTGAAAAATGTTGATCATATCATCACCGAATAAAAAAGAAGTTTTCACTTCAAAATTGTTTTCAATAAAAAGTTTGTTTAATTGTAAAAAGCAGAAAATTGCATGAAATTATTAAATATTAAAAAATAATTTATTGGAACTACAACTAAGCCTGAGAAAATACAATGCGTACTGTGTAGTCTGAAGACAGGACCCGCCCAACCAAGGACGGTGTTTTGGGAGTGAAGGCAAAATTTTAAGTGATCCGTTTTTTATAGATTATTATAATGATTCTTATGATTTCTATTAAGACTGATTTAATACAAATATTAAAATCTAAAATCGTTGGTATTTTGTTCAATCATTCCAAAAAGAAATGATGTCAAACTTTGAAGGGACTGAGGTTGTATTTTCAAAAGACCCTACATGAACACTCACGATTTAAACGTTATCAATAATATCTTTTTTAATTCTAATATTCTGGCAATTTCCTACTTAGTTTCTGTTGCAGACATTTTTAAGAGAAACCACAGTTTTATTGAAAAATATGGATATCACACTCATTCTTCTCGCACACAGAACAGATTTAAGGAAATCGATTTGAATCGAAAATGCCAATTTAGGAATGGAGGGTCATTTATTATTACGTGTACAGTCCCTTAGAACTGAAAACATTTGTACATAAATTTAATATTTGTACAAAAATTTAATTTAAAATTCAGTGATGGTGATGGACCAAACCTCTGGAATGTAAAAAAAGTAGATGTTAGTTCCACATTTATTGAAAATATATTTCGGTCTGGGTTGACCCTCGTCAGTTCTAACGATATAATAACCATCAAAATCGATAAAAAAAAATTGTTAAAAACCACAAGAAAATAAACAAACAAAAATCCTATTCAAAATAAAAATTTGGGCTGTCAAATGTACATGAATTTAATATTTGTACATAGATTTAATAGTTGTACATAGATTTATTAAAATTCAACTATCAGCACTAACCGGCTCCTTCTGCTTTATCTTCCAAATCCAAACTCCTGAAAAATATAAAAATACAGTTCTTTTTCTTTTTGAATATGTTAAATGTTTACAGGGTGTGCAAAAGATGCAACTTTTTAAAGCAGGCAAAGATTTAAACGGCATGGCTACACGTATGTCATTTGTACTTGTAAATTGTAAACTTGTAATTCGAAAAACGTTAGCAAAAAAAGTTGTTTTCATTGTATTGATATAATTATGCAGAAAGATAACTAACATAATTTCATTTTCATATCACGAAAAAAAATCGAACCTTAAACGACCGATCATTTCGAAATTGTCAATAAACTATCATGTCTAATAACGCGTATCTGCAACTAGTGATTACCCTAAAAACCTCCAGGTTGACCCGTGGTATCGCGTCGCCGGCACAGGACTCTATTTTATTCACTCGGTCTGTTGGTAACTTGAACGCCAGGGGTTGGATCCTAAACAAATACCGCGAAGACCCATAAATCTGTGGAATGGGAAGACGACATTTAAATATATAATGCTGTTTTAAAGCAAATAGTTTTATTAGTAGCTTGATAATAACTTATTGATTAAGAGAAAAAAATTTGCGTGAAGCGGGTCTGTTTACACTGCACAATTTCTGTATTTTATGTTCTTTTGACTAATTAACTTAAAAAACTAATTTGTCGTCTTCCAAAGTTCTAAGTCCACGGGTATTTTTGGTCTCACATCAGTATTTAATTTACACAAACTGTTAGAAACATAACTAACATTTTGTTTGTAATATCCTTCTTCACGAATAATAACATAAAAAAATTGCGATATATCTACAATGACACTCTGAAAGAAAAATGTAATTTCGATTTGCTTCTGGTTTTACAATTACAATTACAAGCAAGAACATAATATTTAGTCTTTACATTCAACTTCAAAGGTCGTCATTAAAGGCTTAAAGGCTTTGTAGTGCATGGTCACTCTGTAAATTAAATAAAAGAATTTTTACAAAATACTGACAATTTCGGTTACATATTACCCAAAGTGATTAAATACTAAAGTGGGCCAAACTCATAGTTGGATGACGACATTTTATGTCCCAATTATTTAAAAATAATATATATATATATAAATTGGTCTGTACGGAATGCACAGTATACAACAAAAACTGGACTCCCTTTGTTTACAAACACAGACTTAGAATTTGTATTTAACTTAAATATAGATTAACGTAAATTAAGATTTCAGAAGTGAATTGATTAAGCGACTATATAGTATTTACATATAAACTACATACAAACATACAAAAAAATTTTATTTTAAATCATGAAAATTTCGAAGTTTTAACTAAAGACGACTTTTACATGGGTCTTCATGGCCCAACCTGTCGTCGTTGCCCTAGTCTGTTCTACTTTAGTATTTATTCACCTTGAATGATGCTATATTGAGTTGAGTAAGATAAGAATTCCGAGAAAAGCCCAATAAAACACAAAAAAATAAAACACAAAAATAAATGAAAAATGATGGATGTTTGTTTACCTGTCTATATCGTCAGTGTTATCACAAATAATTCGAGACATTGATGTCTAAGAGTCCGGACAATATTTAATCATTCAGTAAATCCAGTAATATTGAAAATAAATTTAATCTGTTTAACCTTTTTTAGTATAAATCTTTAATATTAATTATAATCACAAGAAAAATAATGATGAAAATAAGCTGTTTAGTTTTTTTATCGAAAAAATGTCAAATCATCCATCTCAAAATTTCAAAACGGAAAAGTTTACGAAATCTTAAATTGTTTTTTACAGAAAATGAAAAAATAGTTGCAGTTTAGGTTAAAGTTAAAAGCTCAAATAATTAAACGAAAAAAGGCTTCATAGCCTTTGTTCCCTGAAAGTCTTGTAATAATAATAATAATAATAATAATAATAACCATAGTAGTTATCATAATAATAATAATACTAATAACTATAATAATAATGATAATAATAATGTTAATAATGATAAAATAATAATAATAATAATATTGTCCAGTTCCTTTCTAATAGAGTCTAACTGTGCTGGAGTAAAGGCAGTTCTCTTATCAAGACCAAGATCGTAGAAGAATCTAGAAATCAATGTATCAATCAATCAAT